TTACTCTCTGTTCTCTCACCCATAAGGTTTTTTTTCCTTGTAACTATCGCATTTTGCATAGGACCCTTTTTAGGCTTGCATAGGGACAAGGTGGTGCCGAGTCAAAGAACTTCCTTTTTGTCTAAGGTAATCTCTGCCATTCACCTTAACCAGAAATTGATCTCTTGTCCCTTTTGTCCAGCTCCAGATCATCAAAAGAATCTTTCCATCCGTTGCCTTGATGTGGTTCAGGCTGTGTGAATCTATCTCTTAAACTATTCCCTTTTTGTCATTTTGGCTTGGCCCTGGAAGGTGCCCTGGCTTCTCGATCCACCATCTCTAGGTGGTTCAGATAGACCATCCTTCAAACTTATTGTCTCAAGGATCGGGTTCTCCTTTCCTTCAATAAAACAGCAAAATGTTTTCCTGGCACACTCACAAGCTAGCATGTAAAAAAAACTTGTCTCACACTAAGGTTAAAAGCAGAGGTTTGGATACACGTCTTCTGCAGAAAATGTGAAAGCCGCACAGCCGCGCCAAGGCACCTCTTATAGTGCGGTCCTAACTCTAAACTATCAGAGTCTCCATCTTGGAGCACATGGGGCAGAAGATAAAATTGAGTGCAGGTTTGTCAGGAGGAAGCCCAACCCCCAATTAAAGGGGGTTGGGCTTGATGTGGTTCAGGCTGTGTGAATCTATCTCTTAACCGATTCTTTTTTTGTCATTTTGGCTTGGCCCTGGAAGGTGCCCTGGCTTCTCGATCCACCATCTGCAGGTGGTTCAGATAGACCATCCTTAGTCCCTTTTTGGCATCAGTCAACTGTTTCTGAGTTTTATTCTGAGACACGTTCTCTAAATTCTACCTGGTGGACCTTTCTGTCTCATCTGATGCCAGCTTTGAGCATAAGGTCCTTCAGGTGACTCTTTGAGGTGCAAGCAGTCCTCACCCTGTTACAATGGACCTGTTAGCGATTGTTTGTTCTGTTGCTCTGTTATTAAACTGCTTTTGAACATCCCTATGACCCTTAATGGACTAGAAAGTATATAGATTTTTTTGTATTCGTTTTCTTGGAGTCCATTGTGGGACATAGGTCCCACCTCTCTGTGTCAATGATCATGCTCTCGGTACTGCTTAGCTTCAAAACTGAGGCATGCTATTAGTAGAAGGAGTTGGTATGACCTACAGTTTTTTTTGCCAGTGTCCAATCCTCTTGTAAGTGGCAGTATAACCCAAAGATTTAAGGCTTCCCGTGTTTTTTTAATGGACTCCATAAAAAGGGTTTTCTATTTCCTAGAGTCATTGCGGCTAATTGGCGCATAACTTTGGAACTTTTGTGATCTTCATGATGATTAATGAGAAATGCCTGCGCTCTATCTATTTATTTCTCTCTCCCTGCTGTATCACAGGCTCGGTTAGTTGCAATTAGTAGTGAAGGACTGCATTAATTCATACTGAGTTTGTTTAGCTGTTTTCAGTGTATTTACATAACTGAAATGCTTTGCTCCAAACGAAAAAAATCCCAACTATTTCGCGGAGAATTGCAGAACTAATTATCGCTGTCCAGCTTCAATCCTCCGACTTCAAAGCGCGATGTCCTTGTATTCTAAATCCCTGCTTTGCCAATACTTCTTTCCCATCAGTTTTCTTTTAACTGAAGACCAATTTGCATCTTTCTTTGTTCTTGTCAGTGGCCCAAATAAAGATCAAGTTGTTCTTGTTGTTATTATGCGACTATTTAAACCATTTGACTACTCGCAACCCGGCGATCTTCTGAAGAGTCACTAATGAAAATTAAATTTATTAAAGGGATTCCGATGTGTAGCAACTATTCGGTCCATCGCGCCTATTAAACTTATCTCTAAGGAATGTAACTTTTTTATCTCGATAGACTTCAAAGAGGTCCTGTTTATGCAGATTGACCCAATTTTCTTTTATGCATATTGTGTCAATTTCCTGGCCCTGGAGGCACGGATTATTATGATGTCCAAGACCTGATTAATCTCAGGCCACAAGGGTATTTTTTTCTGTTTGGAAAGATACTTAGTTGATAGCGAGTTTCTGAGTTTATAGGATGCATTCTCATGGAAAATATTTAAGATTTGTGGTCCAGATGGAACAAAATACAACATCAGTTATAAGCTAGTTCTGCTAGGTGGAACTGGTACTGATGTTAGGATTGCTTAGGTACCCATAGGCATTAAATCTCTGTTATCCTTTTATGATCATTTATCATTATTATAATACAGGATTTATATAGCGCCAACAGTTTGCGCAGCGCTTTACAATATAAGGAAGACATTACAATCACAATACAATTCAAGACAAGATGGTAAGAAGGGCCCTGCCCCTGAGGGCTTACAATCTAAAAGGGAGGGGCAAGTGATACATGAGGAGGTAGCTGTGTGGGGATGATTTGTTTGAGAACATGATGGTTGAGTGGTTAGGTTGAGATGGAATCGGCGTCCCTGAAGAGATGAGTCTTAAGGGATCGCCTAAAGGCAGTCAGAGTGGGAGATAGATGGACAGGTTGGGGTAAGGAGTTCATGAGGATGGGAGAGACTCTAGTGAAGTCCTGGAGGCGAGCATGGGAGGAGTTGACGAGGCAGCTGGAAATCAGGAGGTCTTTGGAAGAGCGGATGGCACAGTTGGGGTAATATTTTGAGACAAGGTTTGAGATATAGCCGGGGGCAGAGTTGTGGGTGGCTTTGTAAGTGGTTGTTAATATTTTTAATTGTATCCTTTGGGTTATTGAAGGCCAGTGGAGGGATTGGCAGAGGGGGGTAGGGGATGAAAGCCAGTTGAAGGATTGGCAGAGGTGGGTGGGTGGGGGATGGAAGCCAGTGCAGGGATTGGCTGAGGGGGGATGGAAGCCAGTGCAGGGATTGGCAGAGGGGGGTGAGGGATGGAAGCCAGTGCAGGGATTGACAGAGGGGGCTTGCAGACACTGAGCGGTTGGTTAGGTGAATGAGTCTAGCAGCAGCATTCACGATAGACTGAAGGGGGGATAGCCGTAATTGAAATACTTTTTGCATGCCACAGTTTCCTGCAGATACTAATTACAGTTTAATCCAAGGCTGCTCAAATCCCAGGAGCCAAGTAGCCAGTGCTCCTAAAAAGTTTCAGCTGGTGCTTAAAGTTTTGAGGTGCTTGGCCACAGGACTCGAGCACGAGCATCTATGTTTGTTATGCATACATTCTGTAAGTAAATTGTTTACTTATGGGCATTACCAGATTAGTGTTCTTGGCATAGATGACCTGCCTGGTACTTCTTGGAATTACGCAGCCCAAAGTAAATATCTAACAAGCTACATAACAGAAGAGCAGTGACGGAACAGCCAAGAGTTTTCTTCCAAAGGGTTCCAAAAGTCAAACAAGAATTGGCCAATGCACCCATACTTGCGTTGGTCATCCTTTTCTCAACTTTATACTTTAATATGCCCATTTGTATTGTACCTTCAGGAACACACTGACACCAGTGTATTACCGGCTCCTGCTTCGTTTATCCATCATGAGAATGAAAGCGTCTTCATCAAATGTTTTGACCTTGTATGACTGACAGAGTCCGGTGAGAGTTCTCAGGCTGGAACGGCCCACATTTCAATTGCCAGATTGGTATTAATCTTCTCTGAGAAGCTTATTTTGCTCGAACGCACAAGATTGAAGTTCTGAAATAAATGAAGTTTCACTTTATTTTATTAATAGAATGAGAAGAATGGTTATCCCGGGACTCTGGGTTTTTATATGGTGATTTAGGTGTCTTTACTTTGGGAGGTGAAGAAACACATCTTTGTATCCTTTTGCTTTGTTTAGCCCAAGTATCAGAATCAAAAGCCATTTTCAGAGTGCAGGTATTGATGTATGTATGGTTTTTCTCAGACATGCTGAGAATTTGGTCCCTCTTAAACTCGTACAACTGTTGACATTAGGTTCTTCTATAGATTCCCCAAATTGCAGTTGCGTAATCTATGAAACAGCAAAAATTTAAATGGCTGAAATGTGCATAAATGATATACAAAACATGCTGCGCTCTAATCCTTACTAAGTGCAGGATCCATGGGTCCCTGATTGGAAGTCAATCTATTGACGTGAACAGCAGAGACAGGGCTTAGCATCGGGAGGAACTGGACTGGAGTGTTGACTAGAGGTGTGCCTGTGCTTGGTGCGAGTCTGCTCAAAACTGTGACCACCACTCACTCCTGGCCTAATGAGTGGTGGCAGTTGCGTCAGGGACATTCTTGCCCCTTTGCGACTTAAAGCTGTGGTGTGGCAAATGTGCCTCTCCTCAACTAATTACCCTGTGGTGTTGGCAGTCACTGTTTTGAATGGGCTTGTGCGGACTGGGTTTGCACCAAGCCCAGGCTCATCACCAGTTTTGACTAAAGCTGGCCATACACTGATCTTTTTTTCTCGTTCAACCCGCGGGCTGAAGGAGAAAAATAGAGCAGATTCCTCCATCATCACTTAGGAGTGTGTCGTTGGAGGAATACTGCTGTCAGCATTGTATTTTGACAGCGGCCACTGGCCACTCTCAAAACACCCGACAAGAGCGTGCAGCTCATTGGCTGCCAGCTCCTATTGTACGAAAATTTTCCGCCCAGCTCCTTCGATCAGCTGATCAAGGGATGCCGACCGAAAGGGTGGCAACAGCAGCACACACTGTGCGAATTTCGGCCAATTCTTTGAAAACCGTCTGAAATTTGCACAATGTATGGGCACCTTTAGTTTGTACCTGGAATATATTGTGCTTGCTTCACCAGTCTGAAGACATAGGTGCTTAGAGACACTATATCTATAGCCCCAATTATTTTTTTTAGCTTTAGATAGAGTCCGCAAGGGTTAAAACCCTGGTAAGGGTATTATGTGATGTCTGTGTATAGTTTGGGGGACTTCCCTTCACGCAGTTGTTGCACCGCAGCAGAGCAATTCTTGCCATAAATCCTCACTTTGGCCGTCACTTAGGCTTCCCTTTCAATATATTGATTTCTGTACAGCTAATACCTTCTTTCCTTTTTTCTTGCAGTTTTGTCAGCCGGGAGGATGGCAGCTGTCTCGCGAGAGGAAACAACCCACCTTCTTTGTTGTGGTTTTAACGGACATCGACTCAGACCGCCACTACTGCGCATGTCTGACGTTTCATGAGGCAGAAATCAACTTGCAGGTAAGAAAACAAAGAGCCGCCTTCTCCTTCAGGGAACAAAAATAGTGTATTCGTAGAATCCAAAATGATTATTTTCTTCTATTTTCATACCTGTGTTTGGCAGCCGTGCCTATTATTATAGAGCAGTGGTTCTCAACCTGTGTAACCTCAGGACCCACATTGAACTTGGTCATTAAGTTGCGACCCAAGTCACACTGCAATGGAACGCACAGCATTAGGGTACCGCGTGTTCCGGTGCGGGCGTACAAACTGTGGGTGGGAGGTGCGTTTGTGGTACCATAAAAATGAATTGCAACACACCCCCACACCAAAATGCACAGTAGGTACGATTGCGTGATACAGTGGGTTAACGCTATGCGATTAACACACTGTACTAATGTGAACGGGCCCACAAAAACTCCGACATACACAACCACAGACACATTCTCACACACACAAACACACTCCAAAAATTTTTTCATTCTTTTTTATGGTCCACCCAATCTCCCTACCTTACAAGAACTGGAGTAGATCCTCAGCCTGTGCTCCAGTGTTGGCTGCTGTGCTGTGACAGAGCTCCCTCCATATGTGCATTGCTTGTACAGCTCCCTTGCGTGCCCTGTAGAGGTGCTGGGAGCCAGAATGTGATGTCATTCCGGTCCAAGCAAATCTACAGGACACTTGAGGGAGCTGTAAGCAATGCATGTATGGATGGAGCTTCCTCGCGGCCATACCCCGAAGCCTACACCACCTCAAGCTGACACTCCGGCGCCCGGGCAGCATATTTTGAAGGGCTGCTTGGCGCGACAACTGACAGCGCTGCGCTAGGTGGAGGCAGAAGGGAGACTCTCGCCTAGAAAAGTGGAAGGCATGCAGCGACCCACCAGTTGAGAACCAAGGTTATAGAGTCTGTAAGGCCCTTTTTAAACGGATGCCACAGCGCCGATGTCATCAACGCATTGCGCTAAATTGTATCTAGAAAATACTTTTGTTTTTCCTCATCTTGCGGCTCGTGGCAATCCTCTCTTCAGTAAAATTATTGCAAAACTACAAAAACATATATATTTTATAAAGTAGTCTTTCCTAAACAAAGCTCGCCCACGGAACCGTGTTCTCATTTTCGGGTTACACCCATGAACTGAGCTTGATAGTTTTGACACCAGCGAAGATTTATTTTTGTACTTGTTTAAAAATAACTCTGAGGATTGGATTGTGTAGTATTGATTCGCGCTCCCTCGTGGAATGAGTTCATGCATTTTCTGTTCCCCGGGATCACTTGGGTTTCTTATTAGAGATTTTAGGAGACTGTTTGTCGGTTTCTTTTGTAACTCGAGATTTGTTTCCAAAATTGTATTGCTTTTCCCTTTTTAGTGATTAACACATCTCTTATGCGGAGCGCCATCTGAGTCATTGTTTTGGCCTTTTGGTTCCTTTTAATGAATGTCCAACACTAATCTCTTAATAAGCGGTTCAGAGGGCATGTGTACACAAGGATATTAATCCACCCCCTCACCAATATTTGCAGATATGAAGGGATTAAGTACAAGACGAGGTCACACAGCTAAAATTCCATTTAACCATCCGGCTGTCACTTCATAAGAACAATGCGTGGTCCAAATATGCAATTTCTTTACATCATATAGATAATATACATTTGTAGTATGTTGCATTATATTCTGACAAGTTATACTGAAAAGTGATGTCCCTGATTTCTAGGGAACGAACAGACTCCATTCTCGGTGATGCCATTGGTGCTTATTAAACGGGTAGGCTGCATTCTCAGTGATGACACTGGTCTCTAGTGAAGGCATAGGTTGCATTCTCAGTGATGACACTGGTCTCCAGTGAATGGATAGGCTGCATTCTCAGTGATGACACTGGTCTCCAGTGAATAGATACGCTGCATTCTCAGTGATGTCACCAGTCTCTAGTGAAGGTATAGGCTGCATTCTCAGTGATGTCACCGGTCTCTAGTGAAGGGATAGGCTGCATTCTCAGCAATGTCACCGGCCTCTAGTGAATGGATAGGCTGCATTGTCAGTGATGTCACTGGTCTCTAGTGAAGGGATAGGCTGCATTCTCAGTGATGTCACCGGTCTCTAGTCAATGGATAGGATACATTCTCAGTGATGTCACCGGTCTCTAGTGAAGGGATAGGCTGCATTCTCAGTGATGTCACCGCTCTAGTGAAATGTTACATTAGTGAGTACCACAGCAGATCTATCTATCTATCTATCTATCTATCTATCTATCTATCTATCTAATCAGACGTTAGATACTGTATGAGTTTGAGAGATTAATCAATCTTAGAGGGATCACACGTTCCATGATTTCTTCTGTGGGGTTTTTTCATTCTTTTGTAACCTTCTAATGTCATGCATGCACCGGGGGGGGGGGGGGGGGGGGGGGGAGGGCACAGTCCA